TGAGACCATGAAAGCAACACGGAGTCTGGACAATTCAGAGGTTCAGTCTTTTTCTTAATTATTTTTACAAATGCTATATTTTATTCAAATTGTACTTTAGTGTTGATATGTCAGCTGACATGTTGACTGACATAGTCGACTTGTTGATTATAATGTTAACCAATATTGACCAAGATTTGGTCAACATATTGACTGACAGTGAGCAGACATATCGACCAATGGGTGCCTTCAGTACACAATTAAGATACAAGAAATTTATGATTAAATGCATTGTTTGTTTGTCGTCAACTTTAATCTATTTGTATGGTCACATATGTATACACCTAAATTATTGAAGTTTAAGTGGTTTATAAAAAAAAAATATATAAGTAGCAAATATTTGCAATCCATTGAATGTTATGGCGCTTTTTGGGGGTCAGAATTAACTGACACATTTTACTTGGTGAATTAAAATAACCCATACATTTTACATAGCGAATTAAAATAACGCATGCATTTTACATGGCGAATTAAGTAACGCACGCATTTTACATGGCAGAATAAGATACGCATGTATTTTACATGGTGAATTAAGTAACGCATGCATTTTACATGGCGAATTAAAATAAGGCATGCATTTTACATGGCGAATTAAAATAATGCATCCATTTTACCATGGCGAAATAAGATACGCATGTATTTTTCATGGCGAATGAAGTAACACATGCATTTTACATGGCGAATTAAGTAACGCATGCATTTGACATTGGAATTCAGATAAGCGTGCATTTTACATGGCGAAATAGCTGTATGCAAGGCTTGATACATCTACACGACGAGTGAAAGCTAATGACAGTGGCCGACATTTTACTTGGTTAAATCACTTACTTGAAATAAATTTACTTTAAATGTAAGTATCACATTTTGAATGAACGACAGTCGCGTTTATTTTGAATTAATGGCGAAGTACTGTAAAATTCCGAAAATAAGCCCAAGGGCTTATATTTTTCAAAGGCCCTTTTTGAGGGGCTTACATTCGGAGGGAAATTTGCATTTCAAAATCGATTGGGCTAGCGTTATAGTTGGAAGTAAATTTACCGTTTTTGCTTTGTTTTACTTTATATTTGAGGGCAATTTTCCAAGTACAAGCCCCCGGGGTGCTTAATTATTTGGAGGGGCGATTTAATGGAGGGTTTTTTGCGTTACCGGTTTGGGGGGCTTATATTTGGAGGGGCTTATTTTCAGAATTTTACGGTATACGATGAACAATCGTTTTTGAATCGGAGAAGTACTACTGTCCCCAACCGACGGGTAGGAGAGAACCCTGGGAATGAGGGTTCCACGCCCCGCTTTAAAATTTGGCGGATGGGATTGATCTGACGGATTTTTTCGCACGACTTATCAAGGAGATTACATTGTAATGCGAGCGAAGATACGCTTGATTTTGTAAGATTCCGTTTACAGCAAATACTGCAGCACTTGGTGCAGTTTGGTGGCAGTTTGGATGGAGTACCGCAATCTATAACAGACGTTAGGCTGTTTTGTGTAAGGGTGATTCTTTTGCTTGTGGAAGGAAGCGCATTTTGCTCGCTGAAAGCCAGACAGACGAACGCTCTTGTCCACGTGTTCTTGTGATGGAAATATGGCAAGAATGCTGCTGGCTGTCTTCTTCCTCTCCCTCTGCTGTTTCCACTACCCGTCCGACTCCGCGATGCACCAGACGACGGCCTATAACCAAAAATTCTCCTGTGCTCGTTCCAGGCTGGACCAGCCTTATTCTGAGGCCTTTTAAGGTCTCCTGCACTTCTTTCAGCAGCAGAGAGAGCAGACCTTGGTGACGTTGTGCTATTGAGACTTTCTGGGCCACTCGCAGTCTGAGTCGGTTCACTTTCTCGCCTTGCCCCCGTATTATTTCTGGCTATTAGAGAATTCTGTCCTATTTGTATTTGCTCGGCAGCTTGCATTAAACGCTGTGCGCATTCCCTGAATACATCACCTTCCATGATCTTAATGAGAGGAGGTGACTCAGTAGCTTACCACGTGACTTTCTACCTTCTGACGGATGCGCAACACGAGGGGGGGTGGGGTTGGGGGGTGGGGTTGGGGGGGGGGGGGAGATGAGTTTTGGCGTCCAAGGTCTGAGGTCTGAGTTTTCCAGGCCTGAGTCTACTAGACACCCCAATCAGACAGTAGTATTTCTCCTATTCAAAAATGATAGTTCATCGCATTCTTCGCTGTTAATTCAAAATAAATACGACTCTCGTGTATTTAAAATGCGATACTAATAATATTTAAGGTAACTTTTATTTCATAACCAAGTATAACGTCGGCTACTGTCAAGCTTTCGTACGTCGTGCAGATGTATCTGAGCCTTGCATATTTTGCCATGTAAAATGCATGCGTTACTTAATTCGCCATGTAAAACGCATGCGTTACTTAATTTGCCATGTAAAATGCATGCGTTACTTATTTCGCCATGTAAAATGCATGCGTTATTTTAATTCGCCATGTAAAATGTATTCATATCTTATTTCGCCATGTAAAATGCAAGCATTACTTAATTCGCCATGTAAAATGCATGGGTACATGTATCTTATTTCGCCATGTAAAAGGCATGCGTTATTTTAATTCGCCATGTAAAATGTATGTGTTTGAGTTATTTTAACTCACCATGTAAAATGTATGTGTTATTTTGATTCGCCATGTAAAATGTATCACTTAATTTTGACCCCAAAAAAGCGCCATAGAATTTGGCATATTTGTCAGTATCACAACTGTAACATTGTACCTTTCGATTTAGAAGGAATCCTTCATTTCTGAAACTCTCAAACAAAACTGTAAATTCGAAATATTGATGCTTAATTTATTAATTCCTATTTGAATGAAAGGGCAAGTTTCTCTTTAGGTGGAGGGGGGTGGGGGGGCGGTGGTTGGGTGAATTACAACATTTGGCCATTCTACCTCTACATTGTCACTTCATTTTTTTTTTTTTTTTATCTAATTGCCTATCAATCCCTACATGGTAGTTTGAATTTTTATTTTTTTAGTAGGCCCTTTTTGCTTATCAATAGGGTGTGCCTCAGGGTACTATACTAGGGTTTTTGTAATGTTTAAAGATACACAAGCTGTTGATTCTGACAGATGCACTTAATTTTAGAGTAAGTGTGTTGGTTAAGGGAACCCAGTACCAAACTCCCTGGGACAAGCAAATTATTGTTCCTCTCAGCAAAGCGGGAAGGTGTATACACATATTTCAAGTGTGTAAGAAGTATGGCTATAGTCTCGATCTCTTACATGGTCTGATTATACCTTTTCCTACCTATGGCATTTCAGTGTGGGGTACTGTAAGTTATAATGAGTATTTCTTTCTAATTGATAAGTTTCAGAAGAAAGCAGTTTGTTTTGGCTTTCTCAAGAAGGCCATGCCTGTTTTAAGCCTTCTACAGGCCTCAGATAATAAGTTGTGAAGAGCATCACAAATTTTACCGAGGTCCCTTTGACAGATCTCCTCCAACCCAGTAAAACAAGATTGCTAAGGAATTTTAGTCACTCTTTTGTACTTCATCAAATTAAGACTGAACGTTTTAAATAACTCTGTTATATAATTATTTGATAGGTGTCTTTTCAATTCTATCTAATATTTATGAATTGTTATCTGGAATTATGTTTTTTTGGAATTAATAAGGGGCTTATTTATTTATTTATTTATTGTATCAACTTAGTTGATTATATAAAACAAATTTTTGTTTAAATTGCTATTAATTTGTTTTCTTTCATTTTCCTTTTTTTTCTGTGACTGGTGCACTTTTTAAATAAGGTTTAATTTTCTTTTAATGCTAGTGTCCATTGACACTGATCATGACTAATATAGACATCACTTATTGATGACTTACATGCAATAAGTTCTTATACATGTAAGAAGGCACTTTGCTTCCCAACTAACCATTCATGTAAGCTCTCTTTTTGCCCAAGACTCTGCAAGTATTGTGTAAGAAATATAATCGTCTTAGTAGTTTTAGATGACAAGGGATCAATGTAAAGAGTTAGAAATACAATAATTATCACATGTGGTGATAATTTTTGTATTAAAGAGTGAAGCAAATTATGTGGGCGTGGTGTAAAAAAGAGGCAGGACTTGTAATTTGGAGTTGAAGTCCTCTGCTGGATTTGTTCTTAGTAGTTACGAGTCCAAATCCTCCACCATGCTTGTAAAATAGCCAACTGGTTTGCCTCCTACCAGTTGGGATTTTTAACCATGGTATGTTCTGTTATGTGTAATCAAATGGTATACTTCTCCTGCTATCAGAGGTCCCTCACCACACCTCATCGTGAGAGACCTCTGCTAGCAGGGAAATGGTATACTTGTGTAATTGGGGAATATTTTCACTTGCATTTTGTCGAAATCCTAATAATCCCCCTCGTCTTTGTTATCTATTAATATCATGGGTGGCAAATTATGATCACAATCATAGGTTTTTGACAGTGTTCATCGAATTGATTATCAATGAAGAACTCCATGAACATGTTAGAGCTTAAATTTTTGGCTTATAAGTTCAGAATTTTCAGAATTTTTCAACAACATACCTGATAGAATCCTTCTCGATGTGCTCTTTTGTGTGTTTAGGTTTTCCAAAGCGTCTTTTAATGCCATGTCATATCTTCACTTTGCTGCCATCTTAGCACTGATAAGTACGCGCAAGGTTGCCATGGCAAGTTTGTAATTTCATCGGTAAAATTATAAACTAACGAAATTTTGTGCCAAAATTAAGGAGTAATTCACCACCCATGATATTAGTTTCAGCTATCCCTGAAAAGCCCCATTATAATAATAATAAATAATAATAATCATCATAATAATAATAATAATTATTATTAGAGCAGAAGAGCCAAAAGTTTACAATGTGCTAAAACAGTCATCAGTTACCAAACCTGCTATGTCTTTTGAGCCAAAGATCTCCTAGCTATTCACTTTTATTGCCATGTTTTTGTAGGTTTGCTCTCCTGAGACCAGTGTTCCAGCGTTACATGTTACTCTTCTTGGTGGTGAGTGGAGTTCATCTGTGGGTGGGTTGTCAACCATAAACAGAGAGCTTGCTATTCACCTTTCAAATCATTCAGCAGTGAAGGTTTCTTTGTTAGTCCCCGAGGGAGCTTGCAATCATGAAGAAAAAAATGAAGCCCTTACCTATGGAATCACTGTCGTTGAGGCGAAGAGACGTGCAGCATTTGATCGTCTTCTTTGGTTAAGCTCACCACCCAAGGATCATGTCATGGACATTGTTGTTGGTCATGGTGTAAAACTTGGTCGACAGGTACAATTCATTATAGACTCTGCTAAATTTCCAAACTGTAAATGGGTACAAGTGGTGCACACTGCTCCAGAGGACCTTAGCAGATACAAATGCTACAGTGACCCCATTTCAAAAGGTGAAACAAAACACGAATCAGAAGTTGAACTTTGCAAACTTGCTGATCTTGTTGTGCCTGTGGGACCTAAACTGAAAGAAGCATACACTTCATATTTGCAGCGATGCAAGACAGATCAAGACGTGTTGTCCATTACCCCAGGCCTTTTTCAAAGGGAGTTTGGGGATTTAGTAGCAAAACAAGATCCTAACGAGGATGGTGAATTCAAAGTGTTGTTATTTGGTCGTGGGGATGATGAGGACTTTGAACTCAAAGGATACAACATTGCTGCTAAGGCATTTACTGATCAACGGTTAAAAAACAAACCTTATCATCTAATTTTTGTTGGAGCACCTGAAGGAAAGCAAGAAGAAGTTAGAGAAAAACTTCTACAGCGTGGTATTGCAGAAGCACAGTTGACTGTTAGAAAATTTATACAAAGTAGAGAGAGACTAAAAGATTTGCTGTGCGAAGCTGATCTTGCCATAATGCCTTCAAAATCAGAGGGATTTGGTCTTGTTGCACTTGAGGCCTTGTCTGCGGGACTACCCATTCTTGTAGGCAGTAGGTCAGGATTTGCCAAAGCATTAGAAAATGTTCCGATTGGTTTTTCATGCATCATTAATTCAGATGATCCTGCAGCATGGGCAGAAGCAATAGAAGCTGTTCGCAGCAGGCATCGAATGCGGCTTCAAGAGATAAAATCACTGAGAGCATTGTATGGGCAGATGTACAGTTGGAAGGAGCAATGTGAAGCTCTTGTGAACAGAATGCAGAGAATGGGTCATGGTAAGAGCTTTTTGCTAATTGCTGATGTACTTAATGATTATGTTGTACCAGACATTACACATGGTAAGAGTTATTTGTTTAGTGCTGGTGTACTTAATCAGGGGCACCCAACGAGAATATCGCTCAAAACCACTTAAACATAGCATTGTTAAACGTATTTTAGTATTTAAACGGTAGATAAAGGCATATTTTTATCCCCTAAAAATTTTTCATCTGTTCGGATTTCCTAGCTGAAAGTCTAGTGATCTGAAAATTATAGGGATCAAAACCTACCTTTTCGAAAATTTCAGCCAGAAAAAAGGTTCCCGAAAATTCTAGGTGTTCTTTTTAGGGTACAAATCCGTTAAAAATGGGCAATCATACCATATTTTAGATGTTCGAAAATCCTAGGAGAGGCAGGCAAGCAAGAAATCTTACAACAAATGATCCGAAAATTCTAGACCTCAAATCGTCTTCCGAAGAGATATTCTCCGAAAATTGTCGCTGGGTGCCCCTGCTTAATTGATCATGTTGTACCTGACCTCACACATGGTAAGAGTTATTTGCTAAGTGCTCGATGTACTTAATCGATTATGTTGTACCAGACATTACCCATGGTAAGAGTTATTTGTTAAGTGCTGATGTACTTAATTGATTATGTTGTACACTAATAAAGTTTTCGTGGCACAACATACGCAAATGTAAGAGTGCAACGATAGTCTTTCACAAGCACTGAATACATGTAGTTGTTTGACCACATTTTCGAGTACAATAAGTTCTCTTTGAAAATTTAGTACATGTGCGAATTGTCCCAGAATATTTGACCACTAAATTGATTGCTACATAAATATTGCCAAGACAATAACATAAAGTTTCTTTGTTTACAGCAATATTCGTTGTATCGCGCTGCGCGTTTTCCAAACATTGAAGAGATTTTGGGTTTTCAAGTCACAACGCTTTTTGCCGAAAAAACTGAGGATAACTTCTTGACTGTTTAAAATAGCGAAGAAAATCGCGATAGTATTTTTGCCGACGGAAGTAGGCAGACTTTGCTTTATTGTTACAAGTGAGGCAGAGGAAAAGAAAGAAGGAAAAGAGAGAGAATTCGGTTCACTGAAACCACGGGCGGCTGATCTGTTACCGATGTTTATTCAGCGCGCGCGAAGCCAAGTAAATGACGTAAAAGTGTTGAAGTAAACTGTCAAAAATAAACCAATCAAAGGGTATACCAGGAGCTGGTATATCGGAATAAGCTATTTAAAACAATGCTTACAGGCTCCACCGCACTCTCTCTCCCCAGTCCTCACGCGGTTTTTGGCACTTTTTTTCGATCCGTTTTCCCCACTATCTTGGAGCCTGGAACAGACTATTGTCATAGACGGTCATAGTCCTTATTTACAGCACTTCACATATTTGATTGTGGTTATATACACATTTTCCCGGCAATAGCATGTTTTCTCCATTTTGTTGCAACAGAAGATCCTCTAAAGGCCCGGAACTCCTAAGAAACAAAGTGCAACCCTTCTCAGAGGATGTAAGACATCACTGAGAAGCATGAAGGCATCTTCGTAGAAAGCATGTCTATAGAAATCATTTCTGTCCATTCTTAACCAAGTGGAAGACGCACGGGAGGCGCACTAAAGAAAGAAAAAATAGGGACGGGAAGAGAAACGCCTACCGCTGAGTTCTATCCCAGGAATACACAACCTAATATATGCCTAACAAATGTCGTCCCCGGGGAGGAATGGGCACACCTGGAATTGACTAAGCCTTAAGTTTCGAAGAGATTATTATTGTAACCAAAGCTTGTTTTTGCAGAGCCCTCTATGGACATTGACAGCAACCAAAGAACAAACACTTCTAACTACGAGCAGCCTGTTTCAGAAACTTCCCTTAGTAGTGACTGTGAAATGAAAGCTGATGCTGCATCAGGAAATCCGACTGAAATATTCACGAATACAGACTCTCAGTCTAAAAATAGCCGTAAGCGTAAAATGCTTGAATTCGCTTGTAATCCAGGTATGCAAAAACTTAGAGTTGTTTTTCTTGCTATTGCTCAATAGTACACTACTATAACTAAAGGAGAGAAGAGGGAAGTGATTGTTAGATTACTAAAAGGTGCTTTTTCTTACAGGACTTGTTATCGTTTACCCTTATACTATAGACGTTTATTATTGATAAATAGTAAAACTTATATAGTGCCGATATCAATAGACGTTTGATAGGCGCCATTTTCATCAGTGGTTATAAAAAAGTTTTTAAGTAAATATTCAAATATATTAAAGATAAAAATATGTCGAACAATAAAATTAAAAAAATTCCTTTGCATGCTAAAACTGTACTAACTGCTTAAAACCTACTAAAAACAAGTAAAACCGTTACATCAAATTACATAAAAGCTTTCTGGAATGAGGGAATCAGGGACACCCAACGACTGTTTTCTGTAATGCCGGCTATCTCTTTGGAGAAGAAAAATATTGCCTAGAATTTTCTATTGCTTGAACACGGCTAATAATTTCTAGATGAGCGTTTCATTCAGGTATTATTTTCGAAGCTTATCTACAAAATTCCCCACAATTTTCTGAAGATGAGTTTTTATATTTTACTCTTTATGTTAGGCTAATTTTTGTAGAAAGAGGACACCTAAAAGTTTCGGATTCAAAAATGTGATGGAGAGAGGAATAAGAAAAATTAAACTTTTCGGGAAAATAACACTGTAGCCCTTGAAATTTCGAAAAGCCTCAAATTCCCGTAGGATGACCGAACAGATACAATTTTTTTAGCGCCACTTAGGAGGAAACCGTCTTTGGTTGTCCCTGAAAACTGGCAACTTAGGGGCCAATTCCAAAGTTTAGGAGTAGCAACAGCAAAAGAGTGATCTCCTAACGTGGCTTAAGTCCTGAATTCTCCGCTATGCCATTAAAAATAGCTTAGTGACAAATATATGCGAACAAAACTCCCAATTTTGCAAATTGTATCTTTCATCGAATTGCTATAAACAGTAACATTTCTTAGACATTCAAGTATGTGTCTAATGTGAATCTGTGATATCGCCCTAAAGTTCCCTTGTGGGGGCTTGGATGAATTTGTTAATGCTCTTTAGCTATAGTGAATTTGCTTCAGTAGACTTTCTGTAATAATGAATACCTTGACAAGAGCCGTCTCTTAAATGCAGGTACTTCAAGTGAGGATAGCGGAATCTTTTTTAAGAAGCAAATGCCCTCCAACATAGCTAGTCATGAAGGTGCATCTTCCTTGGGAAAGGAATCTCTTAACAGCTGGAGTATGCAAAACATTGCAGGATCAACTTCTAGTATAGGTAAATGGAACAGGCTAATTATTTTGTTAGGTTGGGGCAGTAGTAATGAAGGTTCAGGAATAGTGTTTTTCTTAAAAGATGGCCCACCTGGATATTGAGGAACAAAAACTTCAAAGTTTTAGCATGTAACAATGATATTAAAAAAACAGTCACCCTGTTAAACCCCGCTTTTCGGATAACTCGTCATTATGGACACTTTCCTTTGTCCCTGGGTAAAGCCCTAACATTTTCTCTAAATTCTCTTAATATACGGGCATCCCGTTAATGCGGACAATGGACACTTGTTTCTTGCCCAATCAATAGACTCTCGGCGACAAAATTGTTGAGACGTTGTACTCAAATAGGTTAACTTCAGAGAACAAAAGAATCCACACCCCTCCCCTGTCCCCTCCATTCAAAGTTGGGGAGTTTGTTGTTTTCTGTAGGTAGCTCGAACAGCGGCACAACATTGCATGGAGAGGATGGGGGAGGAAAAGCTATATTTCCCCCTTTTGAAGTCAGTAAAACGTAAAAAAAGCCCAGTTGAGGGCGAAGTGTCTCAACTCATTTTGTCGCCGATTGTAGCTAATGCGGACACTTCATCATCAACTTTGTGCTGTAACAGATCTTTCCTTTGTGAAGGTGAAAAAAGTCGTTCAGTTGACAGTATTTTGATGTTTCCAGCGCCACACTGTACCGGATAGGTTGATTTTTAGCCTTCAATTTCAGCATCCTTCAGGTTATGCATGCAGTTTTGATTAAGAAATCAGTGGATGAGGGATTTTAAGTGACAAGGATTTTTATAGGTTGTTTCTGTAACCTACGTATCTGTGGGTTGGGTATCGCCTCTATGTTTCGTACCAACTTGAAGAACAATAGATAACATTTTTTTTTTATTTCAAGTGCTTTGTCAAAAATGAAATTTGGAGACAATACGAGTGAATGAATGAATGAAAGGACACTTACAGTAAACTCGAAATTTGAGAATAAAAAGATAAGTGTAGACTGTTCACAGTTCCGTATTTTCCCGTTAAGATCGTCGTACCCTTTCCCCAAATAGTAAACCCTTTAAAAGCCTGCTCACAGTCACCTATTGTCGAGATCGACTGCTTTGCGTTACTGGCGGCCATCTTGGTTTCAAATGTTCTAAATCTAGCCTGGCGATGAGTGTCAAATCTACTTACGGGGCGGGGGACGGTTTTGTACATGGAACTAAGATGGCCGACCGTACCGGTAAGTGCACAATCCTGACGATCCCACGAAAAAAAGGGGACAGTGAACAGTCTAGGATCAGTGCTTGTGAATTTCTATTTTATTACCCTGCACGTTTACAACCTTAAAACTTGTAGGACATATAAAACAATGATTAATATGTAGAACGGCGATTTATAAAAGCTCCTTAACTTGCGTTCTTTTCAAAGTATTACTCAGTAGAGGTTAGGAATTGTAAGGGAAGCGCCGCCACTAGATACTGAGTGATACATGATAACGTACGAATTTACTATGAATTGGCACACCAGCTTTTATATTATATTAGTAAATCTATTGAGTTCTTCACGATTTGCACCTCGCTAACCATACTCTCAGCTTAATAATCGGCAGTTTCGTACGTCTACATCTACTAAATGGAATCACCTACAAGTCCTTCGTGATCTTTTGCTCAGAAAACAAACAATTATTACTTCTAACAGAAATGAAAACAAGAAAAATTTCAATTACTGCAAAGAGTGAATACACTTAAGAAGACAAGTCATAGTAGAATTATTTGTAGTTGTTCCGTACTCTCGATAAATCAAGGTAACGCATTGTGCAGATGATTCTGGGACACTGTCTGCATCTCTACCCGTGTCTGTCGTAACAACTGTCTCTCAACGAGCATCAAGAAAAGGTCAATCCACTGTCCCTTGGCTCAAAGAAACTGATCTTCAGTGTAAGCGATCCATTACTCTGAGCACAAAACAGGTGTTTTGAAGTAGTTGGTTTTAGTTTCGTTCGAAAATTTGTATTCTTAATGTTTTTCATATGCATAGGGTATCCGAATGATTATTTTGTAGTTCGTGCTAGTTTCTTAATGTACAGTTCATAGTCCAAGGTTATTCAATGTTTAGCCCACACTGATAGTTCCCGCTGAGTTTTCGAGTAGTATCGTCTATTTCAAGGATTTGTCAAACTTAATTGTAGTTCCTTGAAGTAGGCATGTTCGGGGATTATAGAAGGAGTTCCTATTTTAAATGCTTTGTCCTACCGAGTAGTTTTGCCGCTAGCATTTTTCACTGGTTCTTTGGTTCTTATCAATGACGACAGTGTAGCAGTTCTGTTCCCCGCAAGTTAAGCCACAGGATATGCAAGGAAAATTCTCATGGTTTGCTAACCCAAACACGTATACAATTTGGTTATTTAATTCGCTGGTGATGGGCTTGTTAGTGGGAGTTGAATGTACACCTCTGTAATTATTGCACGAAAATCTTTGTTATCGTTGTAAACACATGTGTCTGTAGGCGCTCTGTTGATAATAAAGCACTTATCCTATCCTATAACGACAGCCCGATAAAACGGGCAGCAGCTTCATTCCCGGAAAAAAAATACTACTGACTTTGGACCTAACAAACTCCTGTTATTACGCACAATCGCTGTTACGGCCTTACAGGCACTCTTTTTGGTCCCCAACAACACAATTAGGTTCTCTTGAATGTCTTTGGAATGGATAAGCGCCATCTGTAAACTCTTATAATGAAAAATGTATTTTTCCATGTTTTATCACTAATAATCACTATCTTCCTTTTTGGTTGGCCAATGTAAGATTCCTCTCTAGCGCATGAGATTTAATCAGAATTCATTCCTCAAGAAATCGTTGCTACCAATTTTGTGAACCAGTGCTTTGTCTTGCGAGTGACAATTTGACTTTTTTTTCGCGCGAATTAGGTTGACGTACTCGTTGTAGTCTCAAAATTAAGAACTATTGCTAAGCATAATTGATGTGAAGGTTTTATTGAAATGGTTAAAATTCGTCGCAAACGTTCCACTATTTATGCCAGTATTCAATATTTACTAGGACGTTTACCGTAAAACGGGGTTGAAGTATTTTCTTCCCCCTGTTCTTTAGGATCTGGTCCAACCGGCTTCTGCGGTCCATGACTATAATACCAGGTATGCCACTAATTAAAACTTGTACAGACCATCCTTCAGAACTAATTACGGCCTTGCAAGATTTAGTGTAGTGGCTTTCCAAACCTGGGAGACAATAGATCATTTTCACATGACGTCACGGCGGCCATGTTTGTGTACAAAACAATGAATCGGCGGCCATGTTAATGTACAAAAAAATTCCTGTGGGAATTGAACTCTTTTCACATGTTAAAACTTTCTTGTATTCCAAGCAATTTGGAAAGCTGCTGACCACGTGACTGAAGACGATCTATACCTACTTTTAAAAGAGATTACAAACTCTTACTGCTTGATAGTCAGTGAATAACATTCATCTATTCCTCTACCTTTGCTATTTTACTAATTAATTTATTAATTAATTAATTTTTAACTTATCAACTTAATAGTCAACATCTTTCTATACTCTCTCCCTGTAAAAATAGATAAGTGAATTGTACGAGCGCTGTAGTTAGTTTTGCAGATGAAACCGCCTCTCATTGGTAACTGTACCGTGGTAGTGCCAGAACTCCTTTAGCCACTACACACTTTTCCAGTGTAAAATTTATTGTAACATGCATACTAGCTCTGATTTCCCTCTTTTTTAGTTCCTATTATTATTGTATCTATGTACTTTTTTTTTTTTGAATAAATGTGAATAAACTGAACTTGAACTTAAGCAATTTATTAGACCTCGAGCGGTCGTCCTTCCTTCCTCCGAGCCACGCAAGTCGAGGGAAAAAGTAAAATTAGGCACGCCCCCCACGCGTGCTCCCGATCTACTGTGACTCAAAAGAAAAATAAGAGACTGCTCGCAGTCTAGCAGTTTATCGCCTTGTAATCGCAAAAATGAAAGTGATCAAGACCCAGAGCAAGCCCAACCCAAGCTATTTCCCCAAGGGGGTCTTTGGGGAAAAGGTCTTGTTTACTTTGTTCCTTTTAAGTGAAAGTTCAAATTATATTAACAACGTATATTTGTGTAAGTACGTACAAAAATTTGTATGAAGTTATTGTGCATTATAAGTATTTTGTAGTAAAATTTTTAAAAAATCTGTAACTTTCTTTTTATTGATTTTCAGGCGTTGTAAGTGCCTTTGTCAGACTTCTTATTTCTTTGCATACCCAAGATTTAAGTGATGAACAGCAAGAAATAATAGTTAAAGATTTAGAACATCGGGTGCATATGTACCAAATATTCCATGAAGTTTCGACACCTGATAGTATAAGAGCCTTTACCGAATATTTGGAAAAGGCTTTCAATCTGGCCATACTGATGGTGGAATCTGGATCTGTGATAATAACAGCGCAATGTCACACCCTAGAGAGTCTTGAAAGTCTGTGGAATGACTATCAATCTGGTCACCTTAATGACATCGCTGAGACATTCCTGGTGACTGATGAACTAAAGAGAAAGCTCGGGATGCAAAATATCAGGTTGAAGACAACTATAGAAGAAGAAAACTATTTGATCTGTAAGAAAGCTTTCATGGAAATCTCAGGTGAGCTGGGCAATCTTGATAGAGCTGGGTCTTTTGGCTTGATATGTTTGTACTTTGGAGCAGTTTTCCTGTATGTATTTGTGTATCAAATATTTTAAAGCCAATCTAATGGATAGCTAGTGGGTAAAATGTTTTGCCAGAACTTTTTACTCGCGGCCCCGTGGGTTTGATAGAACACTGAGCGCAATAATTCAGCCAAGTGTTACCACCTTGGCAGTTTACAATGACAACTTTGTACTCCGTTGAATGCAATGTATCACGTTAGTGGAAGGTCATGCAACAACAACAAATATTGACAAACGCAATTCCTTAGTTGGAAGGATTGGGATTGCTGCGGAGAATACCTCTTACAGTACTCGTCACTCGTGTTTACTTTACTTTATTGAATTCGCCACGGTGACAGGGGATGAAACAGGACTAACTTCCCACCCAGCTCATGAAAGGTTGTACCACACCACCGGGGTATACGCCCCCTACTCTTTACGAACAGCAGTGTGGGTTCTTTTACGTCTTTTAAGAATCACAACATTGAAAGAGCTGTGAGACGGGGCCTTGGGGGCATCTTGTTTTCACAAATAATAAAACATTACCCGAGGGTGTCCGCTTAAAACAAGTTTTAATGGCCGTAATAACTGGTATATTGTTGTTGGTAACACTATCGTTTTTATCACTAGGAGTAGCAACTAACACCGAAACTTCATCTCAAGCAGTTGATTCAGGTCAGGTAGAAGATGCAAGGTTGTATGGAACAAAGTCAGAAATTGTGAAGGTAAGAATATTTTCTTTAGGAACTTGTGAAACGGGCGATGTTATCAGGCAGTTATGTAACAAGGTGGTAAATTGTAGATCCAAACATTTCTTATCAAGAAATTATATATAGTGTTTGCGCCTTGTATTTTATAATCGTAACCTGAAAAAGCGCCGTTATGGATTACTGAAAACAAAATGGTGAATAGGGAGGGTTGCTAGTTAGTTTTTAGGAATTGTACCAAACAAATACAGTCAAACCCCGGCAAAAATACGGACACTGAGGGGGCCATAGAAAGTGTCCGTGGTAACTGTATGTCCGTATTAAGCGAGTTGGATAAGAGAAAATGAAAGGGCTTTCTTTCCTCAGGGACAAAGGAAACTGTCCTTAATAACGAGGTGCCTGTATTAAGCGGGTGTCCTTAAAGCGGGGTTTGACTGTACTAAAAAGAACACATTTAATTTATTAGTTTTATTTATTTATTTATTTATTTATTTATTCATTTATTTATTTTTATCATCCTAGGATAAGAAGCAGGTCTTGACACCTATGGCCAGAGCTGAGAAGGCTAAAGTAAGCTCAGTGGGAAGTTAATTAAGATACATTTTGTAGTGTGCGCGCTTTGTGTATTCCAAGGAAGCAAAAAAGTTTGAAAAACGTCTCTCGATGCCACATTGTTAACGGCTTACACATATATCAACCTCAGCAGAGCGCAGCTTTATTATGAGTTGCAACATTGTTATTTAACTGTACACATTTGCGAGCCCTTTTACAGTGGGTCGCCCTGGAGGATTTTTTTCTCAGTAGTGAGACAGTGTATCATTACCTTCAGTATTCATATAGATGCAGTTAGTAAAGTTTAATTTTTGGAACGAAGAGGGATTAAAATTAAATCCAAGGTGAGGTTTTATAACCGAGTGTAAGGTTGGTAGACTGATAGATGTGGTTTTTATCAACAGGATTATGTAATAGTTTTACAATTACATAAAAGAATGTTTTTTAAATAGGCATCGAGAGGCCCTCTACACAAGGCTTCTATCAGTGGGCAATATGAGACGATCAAAATGCTTCTTGAAAGTGGCGAAGACGTGGATCAAAGAGATCAGGTTTTAGTCCTCTCAACAGTTTATGTAAATTTAATGTTTAGCTGGATCTCTTGCCTTTGCTTCGCTCTTGGATTCTTGAATTCCTTTCTTGTCCTGGCTTTGACACATTGACTTCCGCGCGAGAAGTTTCGAGTCAATGAAGAGGGGAATAACGAGAGCCTGAAAGAAAGGCTTTGAGTATTACATGCCTTGCGTTTCCAATAATACTTTGATTGGTCGGTAATGAAAGGTTCCAGTATTGTGACAAACAATAGGACAGGACTGAAGAACAAAATTGAACGGCTATGTCTTTGAAAACCCTGCATTTGTTGACAGTTTCAGCAAATTCGAATTATCTGTCATTCTCTGTATATCTTTAAAACAAGCTCAAACACAGTTCCCCTCGAAGGGTTTTAACTAAAATGGGGAATGAACGCATGTGACAGAGAAATGGAACCAAGCATTGTTTCCATATTTCATTGTGCCGTTCCTAGTGCTCTTCCTGTGTCCCCCGTTTCAGTACAATCGAACTAGAAGACTTCGGACAACTTAGTTTTTTTCGTGGTGCGTTGTGCGATAATACAACGTGCATCCCACTTTTTAAGGTCATGTTCTTTGGTAGGGTTTTTTGTCTTTGTGGTAATTGTTTTACTTTGCTGTTGTTGTTGTTGTTTAGTTATTTATTTACATACTTTAGGGAAAGAGCACCCTAAATGAGATATAAGTATGACAGGTACATATGATAAGAAAGTGATAAAATATTAGTTTTTTGTTAAAGTAAAACAAAAAAAGAGCTAAATATTGGAGTTTGCAATGTTTTTACTTTTGAATTTGAATTGTTTGAGCCCAAAAGTCTTGTCAAAAGTACATTGAAAGAGATCGCGCGGGTGATTCTAGTCCTAAAAAGGGCTGCGGTTAACGAACATTCCGAAAACCACTGCAGTATTCGAAAAAAACTCTTGAGATGATTTCCACATCGTAAGATGGCTCTGATGATGACTTCTATACAAAATGTTACCGGAAACATCAGTTATGCCCCCAACAGTTTGACTCACCCAGACAATTACATTCAATCCACTTTAAAATTTTCAATTTTATTTTGACCCACGAAGGCCGATTACTTAGCCACCCTTTCAACTTTATCTAACTACGTTTTTCCTTTTTTGGTAGTTTTCTTTGACTCCTCTTCATCTTGCCTGTTGGTATGGACAGGAATCTGTTGTCAAACTGTTGTTAGAACACGGTGCGAACGTCAACGCTGAAGACAGGGTGAGATAGGGAACGTTTTCTTCCTTTTTTTTTTTTACATTGGATCAATAAGTTGCTTGAGAGGGTTGGTGCGAAGGAAGTTGTTGTGTTTGTTAGTATTTTTCACATAAGAATCTAGTAGTAACTGCGTAATAACCTTTAAAAGGCGGTATTTTTCCCTTAGCGAACTCGCTGTTATAATTAACATGGTACAAGTATTTACAAAGGCAATTTGTTAATTAAGTTTTTTCAATGTATTACTACTGTTAATTGTTTTTATTTGATATTCTCGAAGAAATTGGAGCGACAGCACAGAAGTACAAAATAAGAATTAAAAAAATAACTTGAACTTAAAAACAATTACCCTTTGGATTTTTTTTATCTTTGCCTTTTTTAATACTTGTATCTTCATGAGTTACAAAATGTTTAAAAGAAAAAATATTTTTACATTAGTGTTGAAAATGTTTGACTGTCTTTTTTTTCTTTTGTTTATGATAGAACACGTTTCTTTGCGCGGGATCCTCTACTCCCACCTTTATTATTCAAACAAGCCTTTACGTTTCTTTATAATTCATTTTACTTCTCTATCGCGTCCATACGTTGAAAATGCATGATCTCCGGTGTAATCTTTAACGGTGATTGCGCTTGAATTGCAGTACACTTGTGACTGAAGAACTGCGTATTATTTATGCTATTTCTAATTAACAATTCCTTTCCTTCCATTTTCTAGTTTTAATACAAACAAAAAAAAAACAAACAACGTAAAAAGGCTTAGTTCCAGCAAGCTAACTTAATGGCTTTTATTTTTTTCTTTTTTAATGATTTATTGGACGTTAGATCTTGTCACAGAACAATTGATTAATTAAGCCAATGCTAAACCTCTATGTTTGGAGATGAGAGTAGAAGCGAAATGTAGAGAATTTGTGATTTTTCTCGTTAGCTCAACTCTACAATTTTTGCAAATGATTGCACTTTGTACTGTACTTCCTTCTCTACACATACCGGTTCGCCCCATGTAAGGGAATCCGGATTCCGGATTCCGGAATCCACGAAATTTTTGCTCGTGGAATCCGGAATCCAGCACTAAGAATCCGGAATCCTGCTAAAGATTGGAATCCGGAATCCAACTTACTAAAGATCCACTCCAGATTAAATTGAGCTACTCGCTCGAAAGAAAAACCATCAGTCTATGGAAAGCCTCCCTAGGGTATAGACCTGAACGTAACGACATAATATCGGCATATCTGGTGTCAAAACAATAGTTCAGGAGCTCCATATGAAACGTCGAGGTCACCTGATTAAAATTCTATAATAGCGAGGGAACCCTTGCTTATGAGCGGCTGGGAGGATCACAAAGTTCGGGGTTTTCAAGGGAACACAGCGCAGCCTTTTTAAGGTATAAATTGAATTGTTATGAATAACTTTGACCTCTGGCTATGTTTGATTCTCTGTTGTTCACTCGCTTCGCTGAACTTTAAAAAATCAAAAGCGATTTTATGCGAGCTTTTTGACCAGGCATAGGACTGGAAAAGGTGCACCTGGGGTAAACCTTTTCTTGAACCTTCCTGGTTCACGAATGAAAATAAACGTCTACGTTCAACAGTTTACCTAAAAAGAAAAATAAAAGAAATTCACAGTCTCCTAGTGCCTAATTTGGTCCTAGTAGTTTCGCTGAGAACAGTTTCATAGTTTCGATAATCTTTATTTGAGAAATAAACCAGGAACTGTCAGAACCGTACCAATCAGCTGTCACTAAAGTAATCACGTCCAAGGACGCGGTCGGGTGCCTTTTTCATTCATCCCCCGGCATTCGAGTGAAATCTCGCCACCTCTTCGATCAGACCAGTTTGAAGTTTGTTGTTTGTTGGATTTTTCTTTTCTACTTTTTCTTTTTTAAAAAAAGACGTTATTGGTTTTATTGAAATCTCGCCACCTCTTCGATCAGACCAGTTTGAAGTTTGTTGTTTGTTGGATTTTTCTTTTCTACTTTTTCTTTTTTAAAAAAAGACGTTATTGGTTTTAGCTGACTGCGATAGATCTAAACGTGCCAAAGGCAAAGCTGCATGATTTTTCGTTTGTGTCAATCTGTGGACTGTGCTGAACGTGGCGGCAAGCGAGTCACTATCATTAACAAAAGAAACGTTAAGTGTGTAGTTTTAAGCCTGCTGATTGATTTTTTTCTCAATCATAATTGAATGTAATATAAATTTTACGTCGTCCTTGGGGAAAATATCGTATATATGAGCGCTATATATAGTTGTTAAACGCTTAAAACGAGCCAACGCGTGTCAGTCTCTCGATCTCTCAGTCATCTCAGACTCGATCGAGGATCAAACGGACTTTTCATGTTTTCTGGTTCTACAGTTGTAATTAGGCCTAGTTCACACTGAGGTTGCTTTTGGAAATTAGACCGATCTGAGGTCGGTTTAGCCCGTAATCTTTTTTTCTTTGAAATAGATCCTAGGTCCACCTAGAACGCGCTAATATGAAATAAAACTCGCGGGGGATTTCATAATGTCATACTCAGATCTCTGACTTATTGATGAAGCCAAAGGCGAGATCTGGTCAAATCCGATTTTGTACCCGTGATTGCCTGTCAGAAATGTTAGAAAGAGCGCATGCTTGAAATTAATCCCCAAGTTTTGACGTGTTAAACAACGAATTTGATAGAGCCGTGAAGTTTTTTCTATCAAAACGTGGTTATGCGCACATCTTAAGTATGAACCAACTAATTTTTGTGTTCTTTTTTATCTTTTTAACATCAAATTCAACGCGACAACTGGGGCCAGATCTCGCCTTTGGCTTCGTCAACAAGAGATCTGGGTACGAGATTAGGGATTTCATTGACTTCTGGGGCGAGGGGGGAGGGGGTGGTTTGCTCTCGCATGCTGTCCAGCAAGGAATAGGATGCTTGCGTAGCGTAAGTCAGTGAAGAACAAACAATCGAAAACAAGTTCAGCTCTACAGTTTTGACTGAACGCGGGCAAATAAGGCTATCTTTGACTACGTTTTGAGCCGTTTTGTCTACTAAGCCACTTTTTGAACTCGATTTAAATGGTTCAGCAACGACTAGACCAAATAACTGATAGTTTTAGGCTTGCAGACTGTCAAGAGTTAACTTTTTTCTTTATTTTGACCAGTCAAAAACGTCGAGACGTGACAGCGTAAAAATATATTTGGTGGATCAACGTGGTCCGGCCACAGTCTGAATTTTTTTTTTTTTGAGCCATGTTATCATTCTTAGACAATTTTGTGACACAGTCAACTTAAGTCACTTTAGGGCCGCGCTGACCGGGACACCACTTTTGTCAGCTTGAAGTCCAATTTAATCTTCTGTAGTGCTCTCTTTAATTGTCAATCTTTTACTGAGTATATATGCTTATTCCGTCGTAGGAGAAGTGTATTTTATTGTATTTGGCTAAAATTCGTGTCTAAGTGATATCTAATGCACGTGTTGTACAGCTTACAGTGTCTCTATAAATGAAAGCTTAACAAAAGAGGCAGTAACCGAATTTAGTTTTTTGCGCTATGACAATGATTCCAATAAAAAGTAGAAAGAGAAGGAAAAACATTGTCCAAAACATGTTAAGAAACCAAGCTTTTCATCGTGATAGTTTGGAGGTGATTAGCGATTGGCGGCTTTTAACGTTTAGTTCAGTTCTATTACTTTGAAATACTGTTTTTCTGTTCCAAAAGAATTCGCAAACATGTTTCGACGTAGCCTGTTCCAGTCGTTCGGACAGGACAAGGAAAACTACGAATGTAACGACATACAAACAAAATGAACCTTCTATTGTATTATTGGTGGATGGCATAGATAGGAAAAATTGATTTGGAGTTACACACGAACTTGTTAGGCCGTTTTCTTGCAAATTGCAGCTCGATTTTCCCTGGCAATGACTGTACCTTTTCCCAGTACTTTATTATGCAACAATCGAATGAATAAACGTGAATATTTATATATTTATATTTCTGCTAATTAGACATTTTTCTATCTACATGACTGAAAATAGAGTTCGCAAAAATAGAGTAAGTGAAAAATAGAGTCTTGAGGTCAATCTCACTCTCTACTAATCACTAAACCAGCTCCGAGATCCTCGATCCCTAATCATATGGAGATTTGGACTAGATTAATCGAAGGACAAAATTTAAAATTGCGATGTCGGTGTTTTGCCAGTCGTTTTTTGGCGGTGATGCAATGTTTGTTATTTTTTTTTCCGCGGTATTGCGGTGTGGACAGTACCCCAATGTCCCCCTCATTATTATACCTTAAACCTTTTACAGAACAATAAAACATTTCTTCACGTAATTTATAAATCGAAAAAGAAAACAAACTTGGTATGCATCAAAAACAACTCTTTAAATATAGCAAGATTCGAACACAAAGCGAAATGCAAAGAAAAGCATTAAAACAGAAAAAAAAATTTGGAATCCAGCCCTTTTTGGAATCCGGAATCCAGTACTCGGAATCCGGAATCCACAGGATGAAATCCAGAATCCAAGACTGTCATGGATTCCCTTACATGGGGCGATACCGGTTGTTAGCATGTTTCCATGGTAAAATAGCAAATGGTAAGTAAAGGGTTTTACTCTGCTTATTATGTTTTTAGTTTCAACGTACACCTCTGCAAAAAGCTGAACGTCAAAACCACCACTCCATAGTGCAGTTGTTGCAGAAGAATGATGCCAGACCAAGTCTTCATCAACCAGTAAGATATCAGATTGTGTCTTTATTCCTGTTTCCTTTTTGCGAAATCTTCTTTCAGAAGACTTTTTTATGTATTTACTAACAATGTTGAACGTTAGATGTTATCGGATGAGTTTTTTCCTCTCTTGTATGTTAGGCACCGTACATTTTTTCTTGTCTTCACTAACATTAATTTTATAATTCGGTTGCATCCATTGGTTGGCAAGGGCCCAGAATTTTTTCAGTGGTTTCAAAACAATACCCTATTTGAGGACTCAAAATTCTCTCAACAATTTTGTCACTGATTGTTACTATTGCCATGCTTATGTTATAGTTAAACACATTGCTTCTTTTGATCCTGTGTAATCTTTTTTTCAATGCACAAAAAAGGGACCGTTCCGTGTGTCTGTGTGTGCGGGGCTGGGGGTGGTTTGGGGCTGTTGGCATTTGACACGGGTGCCATTTGGGACTTTAAAGTGGGGCGTCAGGCGAAAAGATTGGGTGTGGAAGGGCGTAATTTAATAAATTCCTTCAAGGGTTACGGGTCACTGCTCCACCATACAATACATTTGCGCGCCATCATATTTTAAAACAACATGGTCGTCCTCACTTGGTGTACCATCCAATACAGAGTTCGAAATTTGAGAACCGATTCTCAAGGAGCACTATATATATCCACTGGATAAATTACTATCCATTAGGAAAACCAATTGCGCTATCTAGTAGAAGGAGATTTATTGTCTGTAGTCTATTGTCCTCCTTTTGGCTTAAGGAGTTTTTTAGTTTTTTTAGATATACAGGCAACGGCGAACTAGAGTCAAAACAAGTCAAAACTTCTCAAAAGCTAACTTCAATTGGAAACCAACAAAAAGTGACCTCAAATACTTACTTGCTCGATGAGTTTCGTCTGCTCCGGGATTGACATTGACACCTTTTGAACAACTGGGGAAAGACTGGTCAACTAAGTCGCGATGTTATTGGTCGTTTGCAATTAAGCCGTGATGTTATTGGCAATGAGATTCGTAATTTTACTGGTTCGTTCCGATCCATCTGTGTTCCCAGTTAAACGGTCGTTTATTGTTAGTCAAATCGTCGGTTGTCCGGTCATTTTCTCGTAGTTAGTTTCTTTCGAGTCCGTCAATATGTCATTTGTACGGTGCCCGTAACTGTTGAGTACAGTTCAGTGGCGTTTGTTCTAAGTCAGTGAACCAGTTTTCTAGAGTGAGTCGTTGATAGTAGTCTGTAGAATAGGTAATACATGTCGCAGAGTCCCAGTCGATTTGATGTTTTGTCTGTAAATGATTGTTGACGTCACTATTTCTTGTCTCTCGTTTGTATTCAGTCAGTTCAGGTTTCTGCCGGTTTCATCAATGTAAGTGGCGTGCCAGTCGCAGCATTTGATGCTCCCTGTCTGTTTTCGGTTTGTCTTTGTCCTTGACATTAGTAAGAAGTCGTAGTTAAAAGTGGTTATCGGTTGTAAGGTATAGTATACGGGCAATAGTTTCAGAGGTGCCTCTGAAGTACGATATAGTCGCTGTCGTAACAGGGCCAGAGTTGAAGTTGGTTTTAGTTTTGGAGTTAGCTTTACTGTGAGTGTTTCGTCTATCAGAGTCCGCGTTGTAGTTGTTTTTACTACAAACGTTGTTAAGGTAGTCGGTCCGGTCTTGTAGGCTGTAAGGCGAGTCACGTCGCAAACTAGTTGCGCTCGTCTCGTCAAAGTCCGTATAGTTGTAGCCTTTCGGATTGTACGATGACTGGTTTATTAATCGGTCGGTAAGTGTCGGTTTTCTGTAAATTGTCGTTCGTAGCCTGTTGTTGTCGCGAGTGACCCAACGGTCTGGAAAAGGTATATTCACAGTTTCATCGATCTCCTTCAAGACAAGACTGACTACCTAAACAACGTCCAAAATACTTAGCTGTTCAGCTAGCGCCCCAGTATCAAGATCTTTGCTTTATGATGCTTCCAGAAACTTGAACTCTGACTCGTAGTCGTCACTATAAGCAACTGCGCCTTAACCAAGATGGTCTCCCTCTGGGCGTAGGAGCTTAAGCTTTCCTAGTTAAAGCGCTGGTCAATAGCACTGACCGTCGTAACAGACCCTTCTACGCCTCTCAAATGATCTTTGGCAGTAAGGGATAGATTGGGCACCAACCTCTAGTCTGAGCGAAGTGCGTCGTTTCTGTGTAGCGTTGGCTCGCCAACCAGGCCTTGACTCACGTGGACAACGTTATCGTTGAAGAGGTCGAAGCCCTAATCATTGTGCGTTTTCGTGAGCGTTTCTTTTGTTAAATTTGCCAGGTGTTGTTCACTGACAGCAGCCATCTTTATCTTTTAAAGTCTTATCGGTGTGGAAAAAAAAAGCTACTTTCCAAGGTGCAAGCCAAAGAAAAAACTATATCTTCCATTTGGGCCTTGCATCCAATCATCTTTGGACGAGCCATCGGGGCGTAATCAACCCGACCAAAAAAGTAGTAGAGCCTCTCCCCTTTCGCCGTCTCTGAATAGAATCTCGGAAAATGTGAGCACTTCTTGGACTTCTACCGTACTGGTTTAATTTTATACTGCTGAGGAACTCAGCATTTGTTACACAACAAAGCAGAACAAAATCTTCAACAGCAAAATCAATAGCTCACCCGAGATAACAAGCCACCGGTAACGACGGGTGAGGAGGTTAAAGGACAGGGTTGGGAGGCAAGGAACCCGAAGCGCTATCCCAGCTAAAGTCAAAGGTGGAAAGACTTACTGGGCGACTTCCAAAGGATAGAGAGTCCTTGAAAAAAAATTAACTCTGGCGGACTCTTTGGTAGACCAGGTGAGAAATGTCAAGCGGCAGCCTTGAGCATCAAAAGGGGCGTCAAACCCAGGCCAATAAAGCGATGTAATGAGGGCTCCCTTTTCGAGCTTATTCTAAACACGAAGGAACAGTGTGCTGAGTATTGGCGGAGAGGGGGGGCGTCCATGAGATTATCTCCTGAAGGAACATACACCAAGGACAGGGCAATAAAAAGTTGCCAACTTAGATGATAAGGTGACGTCGGAAAGAGCTTTCCTCAGCTGCCTGCACCTTGATTTGTCCAGGTGCGAACTAGCAGTAGAGTGTACACGTAGGTATCAACTTGGTATCGAGGCCAGAAGCGACTTAACACTAGCCAAGAGGCTTGGAAGCGGGAGGCGCTCGGACCAGTACTGTCACGCACTTCTATGGAATTTCCACACTCAACAGGGAAATCCCACCACCCCATCCCGAATTCAGCACATCACAAAAAGGACCGCTAGCTCTTATTACATGCCCCTCTTTAAAACAGGGGAGACATCTTGTCAGATACTTTCGACAAATCTCCAATATAGAATACCCCTTAGAAGGACGGAAGACACATTAATGACCTTACGGGAAGCTTGACGAGATGGCAAGATACGAGGCACGGGTGTAAAGTAAAGCTGCAAGAACAAGGTGGTTTTGCCTGCGAGCGGTTGCAAACTTCCGAGATCCACAGTATCCTGTGACAGGATAAATGACGCTCTTTTAGAGCGTAAGACCTTAAAAGGCCTTCAGCTTGAGCTTCCCGTGTCCTGGAAGGACGAACGCTAATGAAAGGGAGTACAACCAGAAAAGTAAACTAGGCAACCGACGCACAAGCAGGGGCGGAAGACGACTTTCTGGAATTTTCAGCGCCTTGTGAACCATAACCTGGCCTGCACGACAATCACTTAATAGGAATAGGAATAGGGTGAACTCCAAAGAATATAATGTAACTAGTGGCCAATAAACCAGTTGTGTGATAGCCGTAGGCACTACCCTCCCAGCCGAGGGGAAGGGTGCTATACGCGATAACTTTTCCACGTAAGCCTGAATAGGGTTCGGCTGGACGTAGAAAGACGAATATGAACATAGCCACTCATGACGTCACAAACGCTCTTTTGTGGCCACGAATAAGGTATCTAGGATGATCAGAAAGGCGAACTAAGAAAATTGGCAGTCCTTGATATACAAATTTATAAAGCGTCTATCGTGGCGCAATTGCGATTCTAAAGGCTCGACAGCTATGAGCATGACGAGATAAGGGGGTTGAACCTCTCAAACCTTGACCCAAAAGTGCCATTTCTTACGCAATCTGTAATTGTAGTGGAAGTAAATTCCTCAAACCCAGCTATGATGAAATTCAGTTCCAGGGGGAAACGGTGCGACGTAAAATTCCCCCTCGAATCTGCCTTAAAAGGCAATCTTCACACACTTACTCTCGTACTAAACACATGGGCTCTTCATGGGGAAGAACTTCCGAAATGAACTCCCATTGAGCTAAACTGTTGGTAGGTTCTCTGGATATAAAGGAAGACTGGTATCTTAAGACAGGGATACGGCTGAATGAGGACACAATTCGGCCCGATCAGGCGAGGGAGCTAGGCCGACAAAACTGGTGGGCTTGCCCTCCCCCACTTGCGCTACTTTGCATGAGCAGTAAATTGCAAGAAAGGACCCCAAAAAATGTCCAAAGAGGTAATTACCGACATAAAATAACGGAAAACTATGTGAGCGAGGGAAGCCCACCAGAATTTCCGGCCTTATGCAACCTCAAAGAGGCATGAAAGGCATTAGACACCCGTACCCGCAATGGAAGACTAACGAGAAGAGACAAGAGAAAAATAAAACAGCTTCTTTAATTGCAACAAGGCAACATCTCAAGATCAAAATGAAGTACAAAAGGTTTTAAATTCCACGTATTGACCACAATTAAAACAGACTTCCGCAACATGATGCTTTATGCAACTGCATTTAAAGATCTGGGGTTACAAAACGACCCAAAAGGAGAGGGTAAATAAACAAGCCGAGCGGTAAGTAAAACGACATACAATATAAAACTTGAGAAAATTAAGAAAGGGAAAAATTTGCAAACTAAGCCGACACGGACCAACTGACAGCGGAATTATTACAAATGCGGGGCGGCAAACAGAAAAAACATATCAGACCCGCTGGGGAACTGGATGGGTGATCATAGGCGAGCGAACTAGCCGCTCTTTTCCCTTCCATTTCTTCCGCTTTCCAGTCAAATTTTAACCGTATGTTCGCAAGGCGAAGCGCACATAGCATTATATCAACCGAAGGATGAAAAACAACGGGCCAAGAGTACAAACTAAAAACCAAGTAGAGGAGGCTGCCCGACTGGAAACACCGGTATAGGCTCAGAACTGAAATCAGCCGACGTGACAGTAGGCCATAGCGACTAAGGCAAACTGGAGAGACAAGTAAACGTGGTGGAAGCAAACTAGAGGGACAAGAAATTAATTTAGCTTGTGCGGGGAAGCAACAACAGCGTTATTGGACAGCCGGAGAAGGAACAGCAGCAGGTGGCACTTCGAAAATGTAAGCAGGAAAAACTACGACCGGCAAAAGAAGTTGTTCATCGGCAAAGATAAGGAATAGCAGGAAAAACAATCCTTCCGCCCTTGCAGCCAAACTGGACTAATTTGCTTACACACGTGTTTATTTATATTATCAAATCAATGGAGAAACGCACACCCACGCCTGAAATAGATCTCTCGCTGCTAATTCGTCTGAATTAAGGCCAGTGTTACGCGAGCGAGGACTGGGAATAGTGCTTTTGTTTCTCACGTTCTTTTGTGTTCGTGTTTCGATAAGTGGCGTTCGACCTTTAATCGGGTATGATCGGTAAATTTTCGGTGTGACTTTTTTTTTACTTAGTAGTGGAAGCCCGCGTAAAAGAACAACTTCGTTTATTGTAACTGGGAACTTCAAATTTTTTTTCCGCAAAAATCTGTCTATTACTTTACGGTCAGATATCAACAGAAACGCTCTTTTAACTGAAAGGCATCTCATGGTCCTATTCGAGGCTTTGTCTGCTTTGTTCCTTGTTTACCATCAGGGGCATCCAATAAATCTGTTCCTCAAAATATCTGTTCTTCAGGCAAATTTTTGCTGGCTTGGGGATTTGGGAAAATGATATGTCCGTAGAGGGAAAGTGTTGCTTCAAAATAGACAAATAAGGGTGTTGGAGGGGATTTGGTGTCTAGAATAGCTGGTATATGCTATTTGTCAGAAACCTTTTCTCTTCCCCTCTCTCCCTCCCCTCCCACTGAAGGGCTGAATTTTGCCCTATGACCACACCCAAACTCTCTAAACAAGTGAGCGCAGCGAACGAGTGAGTTTGCGATTCTTCATAACAAGTGAATAAAAATCGTATAAGAGAAGCAATCATGAAGTTATCATTGTTTATTTTATAAGTGCTGAGATTTCTCTCCAAAAATTATGACAAAAGAGATTAGACGATGAAATGAATTTAATTCACTCAAAGGCTTAGACTAGTTTACAAATTGAACATTTTTTTCAAATTTTTTAGACGATGAACTGAGTTTTACACACTGAAAAGCGTAAAAGCTTCAACATTTTGTCTTTTCAAAATTTCAGCTAAAGGAAAAAATGAAAATCATAAAAGCTATTTGAAAGCTTATATAACAATGCATTACAAAAACGATTTTAAAGTGAAGCTTACTCACTAGGCCCGATTACCAGCCGCTGTTCGGGAAAATGAGCCCGCACTCATCCCCCGAAAGAGCGGCTGGACGCGCGCGATTTCCTTTGTTGGTTTAAGCCAATCATGTTACCGCCTGCAGATACAGATATTATCACATCAAAACAGAAAGTCCTTCCTTCATCCATCGCATGGCGAAGCGATTTCGACGGCCCGGAGACACTAGGCGAAATTCTAGAGTCTGAAGGAACACAACGTTTTGTTCGATTGTTTGTTGTGAACTTTTCTTTTAATGATTGTGGTTGGAGAAATTTAGCATCTTCAAGGATCTTTTCAAGGCACTTCAGGTCTCGATTACTGTGTTCGTTACAGATGTAACCGTCCACGTTTATTTTTGACAGAGGAACATTCAATACGCTGGAAATTCTGTCTGGTAAATCAGAAACTTTTCCATTTAATTTAGTCCGCTTCCGAGAATCAGTTAGTTCGGACCCACAGAAATCCAACATTCGAAGATCAAAGAAAATTAACTACATGTCGGAGTGTACAGAAATGTACCGAAGAATCTTTTTCGCAATGTATGGAAATGTACTGAAAAAACTATTTCGAAAGTCATTTGGGTGGGTAAGGGAGCGCTTGATGCTATTTTGAGCCAAATAAATAAGAAAATTGGAGACCGGTTTCACTTCAGGTGATATCACAGACAAGGTCAACGGGTCACCCGTCCAGCCGTCTCTCTTCGGGGAGGATCAAAGACCGGACCCGGGAGACGGCGGAAATCGAGCCTACTTACTCACCATCGTTGCAACGCTTCGACTAAGCTGGTAGAGATTTCTTTACAGTGAGCTTTGAGGACTGATTAACTGTGTTGATGGGAAAGAAGTAGCTGCTCCTTGAATTACAGCACCGGTGAATAATGCTTTAGATTGCAGCGATAAATCTATCAATCGATCGAACCGACGTCCCTAAACCTTTTCTACAACTTGAAAATAAAAAGGCGGCTTGCCAGTTTTTGCGCTAAAAGTGAGATGGTTTCCCGTACGATCACTTTTCACTACTGAAAACACATCGTTCCTCCACTCAGACGCCGCTATAAACGATGTTTTTCACTAGTGACAGTTCACCGTTCGCGTTGCTGATTGGCTGTGACGAAAAACAGAACGATTTTTTCATCACTGTCATTCTGTGAGCAAATCTCAGTTCTTATATCATGAAGAGAGAGAGAATCATACGGTTCAGTCTGTAGCCGCGCGATCAATAGATTGGAAATTCCTCAAACGGATCTGTATGGACCAAGCCTGAAAGAGTATCAATGGTTTTTTGTGAGCTATACGCCTACGATCAGGTGAAGACTTAATTCTACACAGAAACCGAAAAAGTCATTCTTAAGAAATGATTTTACTTTCTCTCTGACATGATTTGTATATCAAAAAGAGCAATCAATTTTCATGCTCAAGGCATATGGATATCCTAGTACTACAAAGATAGGCCAGTGATGACCATGGATCCCGTTCTCTCAGATTGTTACACATGGTACTTACCTTGAGTGTGAATACATTAAAAGAACCGTGACTTCGTCGTAAATATGCGGCACCCGTGAAGGACGCAAAAGCTAACCCTTTTTAAGTAAATTACTTTAAGGTTTAAAACGTAAAGCTTTTTAAAGTGTAAAATAATTATAATTTACTTTTACTGGTATCGCTTGTAATAATAATAATAATAATAATTAAAATTTGCAACGCGCTAGTTTCCGGTATATAAATTATCACGTTTGCGGTTTCTGATTTGATAGTAAAAATTATTAATAAAATGGTGCGGTAAAAAACTCACAGTTTCTGTTTTTAAGTGTCATGCCCTTTTGTCCCTGCTGACGCCATATATTATAGCCATAGCAACCAACAACCATCACATTTTGCGTAAAATGTGTACATTAAGAGTACAGGGAACCCTGTTAATCTATTACCTGCGATAAGAATAGTTAAAAAGTAATGCTAAATAAATTCCCCTCTTGATTATTTTCTCTCAAAAACGTAACCATTTCCATCGTAGGTCTCTCTAAGGAACCTCTCGAGAAAAGCTTTCTTACAAGTGGATGAACGGTCTGGATTTAATCGGCTCCAGGCTGCTGTCTTTGAGGGAGAAGATGACCTTGTTTCAAAAGCTGCTGGTCTTTTGGACAACTTTGTAAAAGAGATGGAGCTTACAAAAACGGGAAATAACGCCAAAAACTTTCCAGGAAAAACTGCGGTTGCCACCTTATCACTTATGGAGAGAGAAGAACCAAATTATTTTTATATCAGACGACTTTATAATGGGTGGGCTAAGAACAACAGCAGACTGACTGAGTCGCAGTGGGGTACATGCAATGATGATGCGGAACAAGCAGTTGAACTTGTATTAAATGACGGTGTAGATATTAATGCCTCAGGATCAGACAATGATTGGACACCTTTGCTGAGGGCGAGTCGTTCATCCTCAAGTCAGTTCATTGAGACCCTTATTGATCTTGGGGCCGACGTTAATGCCCAAAGGGAAGAAAGTACATTCATAATGTCACCATTTAATGAGAGCAACTACAAAGCACCATTAACGTTAGCAGCTGATTGGAACAACTACATGGCAGCTTGCTTGCTTTTAAGGCATGGGGCTGGTGTAAACGTCCAGAACAGTTCTGGTTCCACACCTTTGCACTTGTCAGTCGGAAAGAATTACGAAAGTCTGGTGAGATTATTCCTTGAACACAACGCAGATGTAAATACCCAGGATAGGCAAGGAAAAACACCACTGCACCAAGCAGTCTTAAGCGGTAACGAAAACCTGGTGAGATTATTCCTTGAACACAACGCAGATATGAATATCGAGGATTTTGGCGGGAATACACTACTGCACCTAGCAGTCAGAAGCAGTAAAGAGAACCTGGCGAGATTGTTCCTTGAACTCAACGCAGATGTAAATACCCAGGATAAGGATGGATATACACCACTGCACAAAGCAGTCATATACGGAAAAGAAAACCTCGTGAGATTATTCCTTGAACGCAACGCAGATGTAAATATCCAGGATAAGGATGGACATACACCACTCCACAAAGTAGATATAAACAGAAAAGAAAACCTCGTGAGATTATTCCTTGAACGCAACGCAGATGTAAATATCCAGGATAAGGATGGACATACACTCCTGCATCAAGCAGTCATAAACAGAAACGAAAACCTCGTGAGATTATTCCTTGAACACCACGCGGATGCAAATATTCCAAACAAACATCGGGAAACACCACTTCTCAGATCAGTCAAATGGGGCGACAAAAATTTCGTCAGGTTGTTAGTTGAACACGGCGCGTATGTAAATTTTCAATACAAAAGTGGATTTACACCCTTGCACCAGTATGTCATGGAGGGTGACGAAAACCTCGTGAGATTATTCCTTGAACACAACGCGGATGTAAATATTCAATATAAAGATGGATATACACTACTGCATCAGTTGGTTTTTAAGAACGATGAAAACCGCTGTAGATGGTTACTTGAACACAACGCGGATGCAAATATTCAGGATAATAATGGATATACACCCCTACACCGGGCAGTCATGAATGGTGCCGTAAACCTCATTGGATTGTTACTTCAACACAAAGCGGATGTAAATATTCAACATAAATTTGGATTCACACCATTGCATCTGTCAGCTCGTTTCAGTCACAAAGATTGCAATAAGATAATCGATCTCCTGCTGCAGTATGGAGTGCAAAATATAGACATCCGCGACGTAGAAGGCAGAACTCCTCTTCAAATGGCAGTGAGATGTTGTAACGCGCAAGCTGTCAAAAAGCTTGTTGACCTAGGAGCTGATGTTAGTCTGGTTAAAGCGGATAAAAAGGATGCCCTTGAACTGGAACGCTTGTATTATGAAGCGGAGAGTGTGGAGTGAAAAAAAAGCACTGAGAGGTTGCAATAGGTGTGACTATTGTTTCAGATACAGAAATTCTCACACATTCTCATGTCAAATCAGAGAAAAAAACCAACGAACAGAACAGTAGAAGACGAACCAGGAGTATCGGAAGGAGTAAAAAAACACCTGCAGTGAACTACCTTGAAGCAAAGGCCGCATCTTATCGTCAGGAGTTGGACACAGCAGAGATTAGCCTGTTCCTGGCGTTCGGACAGTGGAGTGCAGCGCGAAGGAAGAAAGGGAGAGAGCCGGTTCGCTCTCACCCCTACCCCACCCCCTCTTTGTTGTTGTTGTTGTTGTTTTTTTTCTGCTCACATCTCTTTGCGCTGTCCCCACGATCTAAACTCCTGGAACAGGCTAAGCAGAGATAAAAGCAGGGATCAGTGTTCCATTAGCAGAAATATGCAAATTACTGAGCAAATAGATCTACAGATGAGTAGCCTGTTCCTGGCGTTCAGATGGTAGAGCGAAGGCGAAAAATTGACGAGGAAAAAAAAACGATGGGAGACTGAAAGGGAAAAGGGGAAGGGAACCCTCGCTCTCGCCCCAGTCTCCTCTCGTTTCTCATGCGTACGATTTAATGCCCCCACCATCTGAATTCCGCACTCTATTATCTGAATGCACGGAACAAGCAAACAGATGAGAGAAAGAGCGTTCTGAATTGAGCCGTTGGTACGTAATACATCTAGCTGCCCAGTCGATAGCAATACTGAAGGGAGAAAAAGACTCGTTTCCGCTACATATCGCAGTGATATCCTACGTGAGGTGATTTACCTCAGGTAGTTTTAAAACAATGTGATGAATTAGAATTTATAAATATCAACGTGACAGCAAGTCCTGGCCTCGGTTGTTTAAAGGCTGGCAAGGGAGAATGAGGCTGGATAACGCTATCCACCGGATAAATCTCGACTTTCACCTACCTGTAAATTGTTTTATTTATTCTTTTTACCGCTGTATTTAGTAATAGGCACGACCCAAAGGCGAAGCATCGGTTTAACTTATAATTGTGTACGAATAAATACTTTTGCACCGTATTTTTTGCAAATGTTATTCTGAGTTGACGTTAACATTTCTTCGCAGAGCTCATTTGACAACTTACCCTGCGAGCAGAGGCTACATTTTCGCTGTGTAAGCTGGCGTGCGAGAAGGAGAGGCTACTTTTCGCACGCCAGCTCATACCGCGAAAATGTAACCTCTGTTCGCAGGGTATTGACAACTCGTTACTTCTTACTTTTGGTCGAAAAAGGTGATATTTAGAATTTTATTAAGAAAAAAGTATTTCAATCATTTTTTTTTCTAGGTAGCTACTTCAACGCTTATTAGGGCATGGGCATTTCAGTGACTTAAATATTCAAACAAATCTCCCCATATCGGCCTGTTGTAATCAGATTGATCAGATTAATCAGGCAAAATATATGCAATGTAGCTAATGTTTAACAAAATGGAATTCCCGATGTCGTAACCTCTGAGTCACGCACAGACGAAACAATAGTTGTCCCTTTAAGACCGCTTTAGACCTCTAGCTATACAAGACCTTCATTTCCTCAAATTTGTGTTTTCATATCAGGTGACCGGCAAATTTTTGGTGTTTTTGCTGTACTATTTATGAAATGAAGCCAAATGGTTTTTATATATTTAGAACTTTTCGAGATATTTAGAAAAAAATTGAGAATTTCCGGAAACATATTTAGGTGATTTTTCGTGATATTTGTATCTAGGCCTACAATTAAGATCTCCAGCACAGTATACCCCACCGATGTGTTTATGTAGGCAGTTGTTGGATTACCTCTTGCAGCCCTTCCGTGTGTTAGCACCCACGTTATCCCAGCTAGAGAGCTCCCTTTACGCAAAATAGAGGGTCCAGATAGGGGGTCCACAATAGGGTTCTACTATGCCGTAATCCCGACCCGAATTTTTTCTCCATCCCGTAATCTCGATGGCTATTTTTGGCATCCTGCTTCTCGTACATACTCTTAATCTCGAATCCAGACCTTCAAACAAGGAATCGAAACTCCCGGATCCCGAAAAAACAATTAGGGACCCACAGTAGCTACAGCTAGTGCAATCCTTCTATACGCCACTTCCACCTTTCGAATAACGCATCTTATTTGCTCCCCAAAAAAAAATTGTATAAGTATTGTTTTTTATTTCTCTTGGGAAGGCTGTAATACCCAGGAGAAATGAAAGGTTATGCAAAATTTGGGGGTGGGTGGAGGGGGCGCAAATAGGGTGCATTATGGGAAATGTGGAAGTGGCGTATAGAGCGTTTTCACCCACGTGACCAGTGTGCAAATTTATTGGAACGAAAGAAAGCGTTTGCGTAAGAAAAGAGTTCAACTCCCATAGGACTGGTTTGAGACACCAACATGGCTGCCATTTCATTGTTTTTGGACACTAATATGGCTGTGAAATCATGTGAAAACACCTATTCCGTATGCGAATGGTTCATGTGGTCACCTTTTCGCGAACGATCTCGGAACGGTCTGAGAATCAGGATTCTTCCAATCAGGCTATTCTCCACCAGACATTTGTCATTTTTTTAAAAAAATGCCCCACCTTGCGAGGACAACACAGAAATTATACGTTGTTGTACTAAGGTGAAAACTGATTGCAAAAAAATAAACTTATAAAGAACTTTAATGAAAACAAATTGGAAAAACGCGACTTGAGAATTTTGCCGCTAATCGAAGAACTTCGAGGCTCCTGATTTGACGTTAAGAAAGTGACTATAATTAGAGTCGAAAGCAAAAATTGTGCTGACAGGAACAAAAAAGTCTCAGTAAGCCAGTAGCAGCGGGAATAGCCTCCCCCGCAGACATTCTTAGGGGTGTGGTGGGGAAGGAACGCGTGATGCACCCCTAAGAATGTCGGCGGGGGAGGCTACAGCGGGAATGGCTCAGTCGTCACGCAACTTTTGAAAATGTTCGTAGTGTCGTCACGCACGTTGCGTTACGACACAAAGTTCTTGAAATGCGAGGTGCCCTGGGAACAAGCGTTGTTTGGTAGAGGAAGGCGCCATTTTTGACTCGTTTGATGAGTTTCACCATCAAAAGTGTGCTGTAAAACACTATGTTAAGAACGAACTGGTAATGGGCAGAGCTTAACAGAAACATGCAAGGGGAAAGAATCCTCAAATCACTTCTAAACGGAGAGACAGATGGTCTTTATGAGGATACGAAGGTAAGTTGAACAATTACAAACTTAGCTGTTTGCTAACTTAATTTACTAAGCTGTAAAATTATGGTAGCTTTATTAAAGACACTTTGTAGCTCAGTTAGCGAAGATACTTACGATTTGTAAGGCTACTCACTTTCAAAAACGTTTCCTTGAATAAAAATTTAGTTTATTTCAAAGCGAGCGTCTTGTTACACTCTTTAATTGCAAGAATCGAGCGGATCTACATGAGCAGGTTTTAGAATGAGTGTCACTTGAATGCGAACCTCGGTTCGTTTTTAATATTGTTTGGTGGAACTTGCAGAATTACCTTGCTCCACTGCAATGTCCGCTAAAGAACAAAAATGGCTGCCAAGCAGGAGGCAAAGCTACAGAGGAAACTGTATCAAAGTACGCCGTTTTTTGTACCAAGTTCCTGAGGTGTGCTATAGAGACCTTGAAAAAGGTGAAAGCCAATCAAAAAGGCCTTTTTGAGGTCACAGATGCCTTGAAACTAGGTAAGATGAAGCATGTGAACATCCTTAGTTGTTGTTTGGGAGTAAGGTCTTTTCTAGCCTGCGAAAACATCCGTTTCTCCTCACTCTTCGTAGCTGGGGACGTTTCACGTGGAGGAACGTCTACGACTCAGCGGCAGAAATTCCATACTGATGACGCAAATCAATGTTTACATAATAAATCCAGTAGTCATGGGGTTCCAAATATAAATTTGTCCAATTTTATGTGTCTTCTGGTCGATTTTGGTATACTGTTGTGTTCATCTACCAACGAGCTCCAGCAAAACTCAAATACTTCTTCTAGAGAAAACTATATTCCACAAATATTGACTGTTTTGTTAGAGATTCCGTGACGTTTACATTTGACCTTTGTGGCCTTTTGTCTTTTGTCTGTTAAGACTGTCCTTCGTAAACAATAGCTAAAACAATGTAACTACCCCGTCGACCAATCAGCGCTTCTGACCAGATTCCGGACAGATTTTACGTCATCAGTATGGAATTTCTGTAGCTGAGTCGCAGAAGTTCCTCAACGCGAAACGTCCCCAGCGGCGAAGAGCGAGGAGAAACGGATGTTTTCGCAGGTTAGGTCTTTTCTGAGTTCCCAAAATAAGCTTAATGCTTACTCTGAAAATGGGGCCAGAGAGCTGCAAAACATTACTAATGAAAATGAGTTTTATTTATAATGCATAGGAATAAAAATTTACAACCTACTTATTGTCTGCGACTTACTCAGGAAGTAGTCAGTTGTGATGCTGACAACAGCTTTGCAAGAATATTCATACTCCCAGGTACATACAACACATTTCGCAGTGGAAGGAAATAGCATTTTCAACGTGCTGCAAGCAGGGCGCAACAAAGTGCTATCTGATAATCCAGGGCCAGTAAGGCTTAAATATGGGTCAAATATAAGTTGTCCAATTAGCAAACCACGTTTGCTTTACATGTGAGATTAATAGAGGGCTATAAAGTTACATGTAACTTGCAAATTGTTCTGTTCATATTTCAGTGGGGACACTTCTCAACAACACTTTATGACTCCATCATGGAAACTACATGAAGTTTATTCCTTCAGTAGATCAGCTTGCTAAAACACTTTACCTTATTGTTGCTCAGCTCATTGCCAAGGCACAGTTTGAAAGGGCTCTGGATCATGCTAATGACCTATATAAATTCATCCAGCTTCTTAAGGCATGGAAGAGCTATGACAGTGAAAAGATGGAGAAGGAAATTGGATCACTTTGTTTACGTTCATCTGATTTGTTATTTCAAGGAGCTGGGAAGCTTGAGGAGGCAAAAGTACCTCCAGGGGAAAGACCGTCTCACTTGTGTGTTGTGTTAGACTGGAGAAAGCTCTCATTACTTTTCCAAGCAGAAGCAAATGTACATTCTTCACTAAAATCCTTGGTAGATAGGACTCTCTGAAATGTGGGACAAAATTTCAAGTGGATTGTGGGCTCAAGAATGTTAATTTTAAAACCTTAGCAAGCTTCTTTGAAACCATTTTTAGTGCACTCATGAACAAGCAAGAACAACTGATTGCAAATGGACAAGAATTTACAGTACTCTTAGCTGAACTTGGATTTCATTATAGCAGGATTTGTACTAAGGCTGGAAACTCAGCAGAAGCTTTGGCTGTGTTTGATAAACTGTTGAAAACTGCAGGAATTGAAAACCATTGCAAAAATGGTCATTTTAAACTACAAATACCTCCACAAGTTTGTTGCTGTGTGTGTTTGGTCTGCAAGGCAGCTATTTTGTTGAACTCTACTATAAAATCTCAAACTCAAGAATCTCTTCAGCAGATGTTATTCGAAAGTAACCGGCTAATCTCCCAGATCCTGAGGTGTAGCACATTACCCTCACCAATGTTAAAACTACTGTCAGACTCCCTGGAGTACTTCAGAATTAATTTGCAAAATGAAAGTAACAAAAAGAGTAAGGAGAAATCGCCCACTCTTTCATTTAAGACTCTTCAAGGAACAGTACAAGTGCTGCAGTCTTACATCTCAGTCTTATCTTTGCAGTGTGAGCGGCTTAAGTCAGAGCTGCTTAAATCCAAACATGACAATATTGTGGCACAGCTGAAACAACAGGTTCTAAAGACCACAGAACGGCAAATGACAGTATTTAGTTTTGTTATTTCTTCATATCAAGAACAGTTGAAGAATGAAAAAGATGCAAAAACTACAATCAGGGATTCAAGGTCAGTAGTATCACAAAACATTTAAAACAGTTAACTACTGTGTACATGTTGTAGTACAGTTTTTTCCTTTGGTACAATTTTTTCCGAACTGGTACAGAATATATTGAACTGGTACAAAATGTTTTAAAAACCAGTCCCTTTTATCTAACATTCTGAAAAGGGATTTAATTTATTTGGGGTGTGGATAAAAAAAGGGGCATGGTATTTTTTGGGGGGATGATTAATTATTAAAAAAAAAACAATAAAAAAAAAGTTTTAAAGCAAAAAGTCTCATTCCTGTTTGGATTACTTTTTCCCTATGCTTGCCTCATTTCCCTATCCTTCCTCCTACCCTTCCACTATTACTTACCTCAGATTACCTTCTCAGAAGCCACACACCATGGTACATTCCTTTTTTTTTCTTTTTTTACACCGTACCTACTAGGATTTGAACCATGTACCTTTGGATATTACTAACTTACCAGTCCGTCACCTTATCCATTGAGCCACCACTGATTTCGTTGGAAAATCATATTTAAATTGCATTAAAGTTCTTGCTGCAGTTCCTAGGTTCCTCTCGTTGCACCTAATTATGCACACATGCGCAGAACTTACCAATTCAGACTTTGCTGAAATTAACATCCCTTCAACCCTTCAAACAATCATATGTGTCAAAAGAAGCATTCTACAAAGAATTAGAGACCTATAAACAGAACCAGAAACGCAATTCTTAACAAATAACTCTCTTCATTGAAGACGAATTTTATGACTCGGCCAAAGAGTTCCTAAAAAGCCAAGCTGAGAACGCTGTCAGCGACTCCAATACAAATCACGATACGACGAAATTAACAAAGTGGCAAGCAACAACACTCCTCAACAGGAAGAAATGGTCGTACCATCAAGGGAAAATCTTAACCACCGAGCAAAAGGTAGTTGTACCCAAGAGTCAACTATACGATGTTCTGACTTTGGCGCATCAAAGGACAGCACATAGAGGCAGACAAATAACATCAAAGTGGATTAACGAGAATTTTTCTGAAGTGAATGTACGAGTTGTGAACCTATTTGTAAGTTTGTGCCAAATTCATCAAGAGCAGAAGACCATTACAAGCCACGTTAAGATGGTAACCAAGACACTTCAATCTCCAGAATTTCTGTCACTGATTGAAATCGATCTCATGGACTTTCGAAATACTCCCTGTGACTGCAAGAACGTGCATACTTGGGCGATGAACATAATTGATCATCACACAAAGTTCGTGACAGTTGTGCCCTTACAACAAAAAACAGGTGATGAAGTACTCAAAAGCCTCCGAGAGTACTGTTACGCCTACGTATTTCCAAAGAAAATAATCAGACAATGGGGGAGAGTTCCAAAACAAGAAGTTAAAGATGTTTTGCAAGGATAACGGCATCGAGTTATCACATTGCACACCTCGGACACCGACAACCCAAGGGCTAACCGAGAGAAGCAACCTATCTTGGAAACAAGACATGACGTCACTGATAGTGAGCACAGCAGACAAAAACATCAAGAAATGGTGCCACTACATGAGAGAAACCTCATACATCAGAAACATCTCATACCACCGAGCCATCAAAGTCTCCCCTTACGAAGCTGTATACGGAATAAAACCTCACAGGGAAAAGCTAAATGAACAGAGCAAAGAAAGCCAATCTGAACAAGAAGAAAACAATTTGGAAGAAAGCAATGGAAAAAGTTCACAACCACAACACGATGAAGACCAACCAAGAAAACGACAAAAAATAATAGAAAACCAGACAAAATACAATGCAACCATGGTGAACCAAACAAAGAGAACGCAAGAGAAAAAACAGCCCAAGTTCAAAGTAGCTGATATGGTGGCAGTAAAAATTGACAAAGTCGACAAAACAAGCCAGCTGCACCCCAACATGTTACTGGGAAAAATAACCTCAATTGAAGAAAGTGGTTTTGTGCAAATAGTAACTCAGTATGGGAAAATAAACACTCTGATTTCTCCTTCACGATTGTATCCCTGTTCAGCCACTACTGTGCAATTAAACTATTCAACTGAAATATCTTTCACAGCAGCCTGTAAAAAAGCAAGTGGGTTTTAATAGAAATAGTACTCCAAATAATTTTAATGTTTATTCTTCACAAAAAAAAACAACAGATCATGATTATCTACAAAAAGACAACAATATGACAACATTATGAACAATTGTAACTTTATTGTAAAATGATTTAAGTACTTTACAGTAAATCACAAAATGACTACCATAAGATAATCACTACTTACAAATAATGCCAATGCAGAGACAGTATCAGAGAATAAAGCAAGTTTATTCACACAGAAGTCCTACATGAGCAGCCGAAAAATAAAGACAAAAGTGTCGATGTGTTTTAAATTGAAGCTCACTGGCAATGAGCTGTAACCCAAACTCTTTCCTAATCCTAACCTAACCATAACACCCTAACCCTAACCCTAACCCTAACCCTAACCCTTCCCTAACCCAGTTACATGTACCCTTTCCATAACTGGAACCCTAACACTATCCTTCCTTACCCTAACACTAACCCTAGGCTCAGGTTTATGAAAAGTAACAAGGGATGATTGTTAATGAAAACTAACCACAGTAGAACTAAAGCTTATTCATGGCAGACAAGTGCTCCAAAAAATAAATTAATATTATGAGTTAACAACAAACTGTACTTGAAATTAAAAATTGGACTAGCACAAAATATTTTGAACCAGTTTAATATATTCTGTATTGGTACAAAAACAAATTGTACCAAAGTGCAAATTGAACTACAACATACACACTGTAGTTTAAGGAAAGGATTACATGTATGTTGTGGTTTTATTTCTCTTTATTTTGGGGCATGTTAATAGATGAAAATGAGTGAAAAACAAAGGGAAACAGCGTGCAAAGAGAGTAATTTCTGATACTCTAGGGCTAGTGGATTTTGCCATCGGTCTATTGAATTCTGTTCTTAACTTTCCTGATGGGCAAGTGAAGTATTTTGACGAATTCAACTTACAGAAGAACTTTGAAGTCAATTCTGCCCATCAAAACATTTTGGGGGCTCAAGTTGAAATGACGTTTGGGCTAATAAATGCTAGCTTCAGCTTGCCCGAATGGCAAGCTGTAAATGACTTTCTTTGCACCCTGGGAAATAAAATTTAAACCAAGGATAAATTTGAACCATAACATCTACATGTAACACTGGTCAAACTTTTATTGCTTACCCAGTATCCTCAACTCTTGCCAATCAGCCTAACGATTCTTGAAACAAAATTACAAATATCTCTAGAATTTGTCTTTTTTGTGTTGCACACAAATGGGTAGTTTCGAAAATGAAGCACTCGAAAACGAAGACCGAAGCACGAGGCACCCAAATCTCGAAAACGAAGCACCCTAGATCGAAAACGAAGACCCCTAAATCTCGAAAACGAAGCACCCAAATCTCGAAAACGAAGACCCCAAAACTCGAAAACGAAGCACCTGAATCAGGTGGAGGCAGCGGATGCGTCCACAAAATCCATCCCAAGGTTTTATAAGAGCCTGCCAACTGTTTAACTGAACTTTTCAAGATAGGATATACTGTATTAATTTTATTATTGGTCTCGCTATACTTGATACATCTTACCTTAATATGCATTTTTTCGGTACACATACCTGTTTACTGATTTTGAGGAAAAAACCAATTGTTTTGCAGTCTAACATATTGGATATGCAGGAGGTTACGCCCCCTCCCAATCGCAAAATTATCAAACTTCTAACATTTGTTCTCTTGTTTTCGCCGCTTCGATATTATCGACCACTTAGTACTAAGAAAATCTCGTACTCGTCTTAGAATCTAAAGCTCTCTATCATCGACTCAAGCCTGCGAATTTAACTGGCTTTTACTGGCAATACAGTAACATTCTAGAAATAGTGTGGGCATTCTCGGTTTTCTGATCACGTCCAAAACATGGCCTCCCACCGGGCCTCCCACGCAGCGGCGGATATGCATTCACAACTTGAGTAGATTTGAACTGCATTTGATTTGTTATCGTGCTTGATTCCTGCTGTATTAGCATTGGTCTCTTGTTTATAAGACCGGTGTCGAGTTTTCGGGTGCTTCGTTTTCGAGTTTTGGGTGCTTCGTTTTCGAGATTTAGGGGTCTTCGTTTTCGATCTAGGGTGCTTCGTTTTCGAGTTTTGGGTGCTTAGTTTTCGATCTAGAGTGCTTCGTTTTCGAGTTTTGGGTGCTTCGTTTTCGAGATTTGGGTGCTTCGTTTTCGAGATTTAGGGGTCTTCGTTTTCGATCTAGGGTGCTTCGTTTTCGAGTTTTGGGTGCTTAGTTTTCGATCTAGAGTGCTTCGTTTTCGAGTTTTGGGTGCTTCGTTTTCGAGATTTGGGTGCTTCGTGCTTCGGTCTTCGTTTTCGAGTGCTTCGTTTTCGAAACCACCCACACAAATGGGGATATACACTGTAGGCAATATCTCTGACAAGATAGCATTTTGGGGAAGATGTACTGTAAGCAGTTTGGGTCTGGGAAGGTCCAAAGAGACTGAGAGAAATCTAGTAAAAATATCTATAAAGAATAGGGGAATGAATGAATGTACAGCTGTTGGTGGACGCTTGCAGCCTGCACAAAGAACTACAGAGTTGAACGTTTTTGGGTGTCAATCTTGAGAGAGTTTACTGTGCTGTTAATGTTAACACATTCTGTATTTACACTATGCAGATGTCAGATCTTTAAGGACTGTATTCCAGTAGTGGAACAAGCAAACTCTGTTATTCATTCTGCCCTTGATGATCCAGACATCCCATTGTCTTCAAACGAGCTCCGCTGGCTAGGCTGCAATGTGTACAATTTGGGCTGTGTGTCATATCAGAGAGATTGCTTTACTGAAGGAGTTCCTCTGTTAGCCATTGCTTGTGAATAGCTGAGAGTATGGTGCTTTAATGGCAAGACTGATGAGGAAATTCTTACAAGGATTCTGGAGGTAATACATTTATGGCCTTAAGCCTTGTAATTTTTCTAACATACTGTGTGGCATGAAATGTTTGCGGAAGTTTGCAATTTTTGTGTTTTGGGGGAAAAAATTTTGCAATTAGGAAAGATTGATTTTTCTTGCTGGGAATTGATTTCTGTGATTTCAGTAAGTCTCAGACCAGTCATTGTTAATATTTTCCTTTGAAGAAAGTTTCAACCCTAGTCAGCTGTTTTATAAAATTTTATAAAATTTTGATAAAAAGTTTTGTAAAATTTTATAAAACCGAATGGCAATTCTGTATTGCAATTTTTATAAAATTTTATACATTTTTATAACGTTTTCCCATGTAAAATTGTATAAAATTTTATAAAAGGTGTCAAAATTATATGAAAATTGTAAAATTTTATGAAAAGACAAAAATTGTTGTTGCTAAATTTTCTTTTATAAAATAATATAAAAAAATATAAAACCTTGCTTTGAGACAGAGCAGTTTCAAATGATGCTGCAGTTTAATTTTTCAGAAGTGTGCAAATGTGACATTGTCATAGTAATATTGACAGGAACAGACCGACTGACGTTTATTTCCATTTTTCTTCCAAATTACTTTGGTTATTAATATACAACACTAAGCAATTTCAGTTAACAATAATTCGGTCAGTTCAAGTCGCTCACAATTCATAAAAAACTTAACATTAGTTTCATTGCAAAACATTTAACTTTAAAGACACTCAGAATTTTCTAACTGATTCAATGGCAAGAGGGAAAAAAATGGCTTATTTACGCCTTATAACAATTTTTTTTATCACTATTGGATAAAAACATGTGAAAATGCTATGAAAAACCTGTGAAAAAAACTGTGAAAAAACATGTGAACTGTTCAATTTCACATGTTTTCTCACATGGTTTTCACACCTTTTCACAGGGTGTGAAACCATTGAGACTCGGTGAACAGGGCATTTTTCACAGGGTCAGAACCTATGCGAAGCCCTGTGAAAAACCCTGTGAGTTTTTAACCTGTGAAAATACCTGTGAAAGACCCGGTGTGAAAAACCTCTAAACTTTCACAGTGTTTTTCACGGGGTGGAAAATCAGAACCTGTGGAAAAAACTCTGAAATGGGAGGAGTTTACCTGGTAGCTGTATGTTGCCAACCCCCCCCCACACCCCACACAAAATACAATGTTGAAGTCTGATTTCTGTTCCCAAGTCAAATAGAACCTCAACGCATGCATTTAAGCTGTATTACCTAATAAAATAGTATGTATTTAGCTAACAGTGATCCTGTGTGTTTTAAATTAGAAGGAATTTGAATCAGATCAGGAGATGGTTAACATTGCCAATATTAAACGTCTGCTTGGCTAAGGGGTTTCAATTTAACAGCCACGAGAAGAGAAAAGAGACAAGAGATGAAACTCGTCTGTAGCGGTGCTTGTACGATATGTGTCTCCAGTTGACTTGACCAGTCCTATTCATGGAAATGCGCATGGAAACTGGAACCGGCAGCCTTTGACTGCAATTTCAGGCACTCTTGACTTGAATTAATCTCCTTTTCATGCATGGTAATTGCAATGTTGTTTTAAAATCACTTGGAAGTGGAATTATATTTTTTCGGATATTTTCCTCAAATGCAGTGTCCAGATATAAGAGAACGGAAATTATTATCAGAATCATTGCATATTTTTACCAAGCGATCCTTGTAACAGTATTATTGGACATTTTTCCTTTTTCATCAGTGAAAAATTGGTCTAAAACATTAAAATTTACTATAGAGCAACACAACATAAGTGGTAAAATGTATCTCATGCATTCCACGTGGTATGGTCTGTTCTTCTACTTCCAACACATCTAAAGGTGTTAAATCCAAACAAAAGTGACTGTCATGAGAACATAGAACCATCCTGACAAAGCACATGTTTAATACGACAACTTACTTCTGGTCAAGTCAAGTGTAGTCACAGACTGGACGAAAAGTAGCTTCTAAAAACAACACAATTCTAAGCAAAAAATGGGCATCAAAACAACACCGTATAATTGAACCTTTAAATAATCAATAGAGGTGTGGGATACTAGCCGATTTTGTCTAGTAACAAAGGAATTATATGCCTCAAAATAAAATTGCCCTTATTTAATCCCCTTAATAATTGTCTCTTTTCTCTCTTCTCCTTTTTACCAAGGAGAGTTAACAGTTAACAATATTGGGAACTTGATATGTAACTGACATTGCATCCTATTTATGAAGGCAAACAACCATTTGATACTGGCAATTCATCTTGCTAGCAATGTTTGCCATTTCTGATCCGATTCAAATCCCTTGCAAACTTACTCGTAAAGAAACAGGAACACAGGTAAATACATCTTATTATTTTGTTAGCTAATACAGCGTAAATACTTCTAATTATTTTTTTAGCTAATATCTCATATAAAACTAGACAAAATAAATTGGATCCTGATAGATGATGGTCTTCTTAACTTACAAAAATGTAGAGATACTCACATTCAGTAGTCTTCAAATAACCAAAATCTTTTTGTCAGATGAACTGGCATGATATGAATGCTATATACTGAGTGCTTGATTCAGCTTGGCCATCAAGGCACAGGCATTTTTACAGAAGTCTTTATTACTGTTCATAAAACGTATTTAACTTCATTAGTTGATGAGTTTTCATAGTCAGGTAGGTGACAAAAAAAGTAGTTATTTAGTTTTGCAACAATGTGAAATAAAAATCTGATACAGAGCACAGATGAAAGGTGCTTGTTACAAGCTAAAAAAGAAAAGAAAAGTTCTCAACTGTAAGAAATACTGTAACTATTAGATGGAAAGGTGTTTAAGGATTAAGTTTCAAAACCATGAGGGCATGCATCCAAAACAGTGAAATCACTGGGTTATTAAAAACTCGCCCCATGTAAGGGAATCCCGAATCCTTGGCCTTAGAATCCAAAAAATACAGCTCAAGGGCTGAAATCCAGAATCAACCGCATGGAATCCAGAACATGTAGGACAGTATTAATATGGAGCATAAACTGAAGTGTTCATTACAAGAACTTTGCTGCATAGTTGTTGTCTAAAACAATTTAACAGCTCAATTTCAAATGAGCGTACAACCAGTTTATAGCAGAAAAATAAGAAGAAGCAGATCGGGGGAATAAGCTTAAATTCTAGTTCCTTTCTAAACCACTGTCTAAACCTCGTAAAAAGGGTCAAAAAATATTATAAAAAGAGAACCCCATTCATCCAAATTAAAGGAAAGGAAAGCACTTACCTTTTCGGCCAGTCTTTGATTATTTTAAAAATGAAAACTCCATAGAAGAAAGAATTACAAATCGATGTAGGAGAAAAAATATCTCTTGTTCTTGTTCGCTGTTCAGCTAATACAACTTTATTACTTCGGCGGAGCGCGAAGTAAAGGTTTCGCGACGCTCAGGAATGTATCAAAGTTACAATTTTTTGACAAGATTGGGCATGCAAAGTCTGTAGGTTTTCGGTTTTATTCGGCTATTTGACGAAGTGAGAGCCGAATTAATTCGAGATATCTCGAGATCACTTCGATTTATTCTTTAACTTTTTCGAGGAAGAAAGAATTATTATTTTGGCTTTCCCGGGGTTTGAACCGACTCACCTGTGTGACCCGTCAGATCAGAGGAGACTCTAAGTTGAGGGATTAGCCGATTGCGCTACTGCGACCCAAGGTAGTTCGGGATATGAAAAATAGTTATGAAATGATGCACTAGTTTCGGGACAAGATTGGGCGTGCAAGTTCGTGACTTTTCGGCTTGTTTCGGCTATTTCACGAAATGAGACCGGACTACTTCGTGATATCTTGAGATCACTTCGAGTTTAGTCTTTAATTTACTCGAGGAATAAATAGAGGATATTACGTGGCCACAGAGACACAAAATTTCTTTTCGAGTGTTGAAAACATTTCACGAGTGAGCGCTCCTTTCGAACTGTTTTATGATGAATTTAAAGTTACAAAATGCTGCACAAAGACATTTTGTCTTTGTTCAGTGTTACGTAGTAAAATTGCTGTCATGCGATGCGTGACTTTCTCGAACGTTCTCTACGTTTTTGGATTATTCTTGAATAATTGATGAGGGCATGTTTACATTTCAGCATGAGTCAGCAGATTTGCATTAGTTACTACTATTCGCCTGTTTAGTATTTTCTAGAACCTTATGTCAAACGGTATACAAGTTCCAAGCGAGTTCTTTTGACGAACTAGGTTTTTTCCCACGAGCTGGACTGCTGTGTTTAGTCAAGTGTGACGAAGGTCGATTTTCAAGTTCTGTGTTTACAATTTGGCGGAAGCCGTAAGATATCTGAAGTGCAAGTGAGAGTTTGTTATTATTAGCAGAGGCTGTTTAGTTTTACTTAAGTTCAAGTCAAGTTTGTGTTGGCGGATGCTGTGTTTTAAGGCTCTGTAAAGGCTATGTTCCTCTGGTATTAACCTTCCTTGTGTTAATCTGACATCACTGCGTGCTGATAGTCAGTGAATAATTATCCTCAAAACATTCGAAATCGTAACATAGAGTTTTAGCCAATTCCATGCTCAACGTAAATGACTCCTTACCCATGCCTTACCTATCTCAGGGACACCCAACGATAATATAGTTCAAAACCACTTAAACATAGCATTTTTAAACGTATTTTAGTATTTAAACGGTAGATATAGGCATACTTTTATCCCCTAGAAATTCTTTATCTGTTCGGATTTCCTAGCTGAAAGTCTAGTGATCCGAAAATTATAGGGATCAAAACTTACCTATTCGAAAATTTCAGCCAGAAAAAAGGCTCCCGAAAATTCTAGGTGACCTTTTAAGGGTAAAAATCCGTTAAAAATGGGCAATTATACCATTTTTTAGATGTTGGAAAATCCCAGGAGAGGCAGGCAAGCAAGAAATTTTACAACAAATGTTACGAAAATTCTAGATCGCAAATCGTCTTCCGAACAG